TATATATATATATGTATGTGTATATGTATGTATATGTATGTATATATATGTGTATGTATGTATATGTGTATATATATATATGTGTGTGTGCGTATGTGTGTGTGTGTGTGTATGTATGTGTATGTATATGTATATATATATATATGTATGTGTATATGTATGTCTGTATGTATGTATGTATATATATATATATATATATGTGTGTGTGTATAAAATTCTTATATATTCCTTAATCAAAGAATTTCGGATTAAATCAAGAATTTCTTTCTTTTGTCCAGCAATTGACATTAGCAAACTGAAAGGTAGGAAAAAAGGAGAACTGTTCAATATAGAATTAAAATATATTTTTAGAGAATATTTTATATTTGAATGATTAGAATGGTAGCATATGAAAAGCAACATTAGGAAAACATCTTCATAATGTTCTTACCTCCCAAAGCAAGAATCCACCCAAACAAAGAGTTAATTGTATTCATTGCAAAACTCTAGGTAGAAAAAAGGAAAGAGGAGAGTTAAATATCACAGTACAGAATAAAAACATTTGAACATATATAAATATATACTATTTGATTATCAAATGTGCTGTTATATATAAAAAAAAAAAACTAAGGCTTGTTTTCCCAGAGCGTGTGAAGGTCTAAATAACCTTCCTATGAAAAGAATTGCAGATGAATTAATAATTAGCTTTGAAATAACTATCTAGAGTGGTCAATAAATCTGAAATGATTTGGAAAAAATAGGAAAGCACACTGTTAAACAAACCTGCATTTTAAAATGTTTAGTCTTGTGGCTAGGTGGACCATCCATGAAACTGTGCTCTTCAGACAACAACAACAGTGCTGTAGCTCCATCTAACTGCCTCACACAGCATTTCACCTAACAGCATGAAGTACTGCACTGCAGTGGACTGCAGCAGCCCCTCCCATCGATGCTGCACTAATACAACGCCTCAGACCACAACATATGAGAACATTATCATATGACCATAATATGTCTATTCACCTTCCCCAAGTAAAATACCCTGATGATAATCATGAAGTCCTTTTGCTGCTTCGATGAGCCCAATGTCATTCTTTTATTTAAAATAAACAGTGCAATACAGCACAATTTGGCATGCAATTTTCTGACAGGATGTACATTATCTTGTATATCATAAAAGCTGATCTGCTCTGTGTAATCCTCAATCACAGGCCAAATCTTTTGTTGCCTGAGCAGGCATGACGTTATAGCTTCCATACATTTACCTTTCAGAGGCTTTATGGTCGTGCTGTTTTAATCCCAGTCTGTGATGTTTTTCATTTGGCAGGACACCTTCTCCAGTGGTTCATAAAGCTTCAGCTCTATGGAGAGTGGAAGGAGAAGGAGAGAGGATTCGAGAGAGTAGAGAAGGAAAACCGTTTGTCTCCCCCTTTTGAAAGAACTAGAAAATGCTATTTACCAAATGTTATGCAGAGTTTCCCACGATTCATTTTGCTTGAGCTACCAGGGAATTCCAAGTATAACAAGTATGTATTTACAAGATGTTTCAGTATTTATGTTTGCTATTACACTACTGTTCAAAAGTTTGGGGTCCAGTTTTTAAATGTTTTTAAAAGAAGTCTCTTGTGCTCACTAAGGTTGCATTTATTTGATAATATATCAAAAATATTGTGAAATATTTTTACAATTTAAATCACTGTATTCAATTTTAATATATTTTAAAATGCAATTTATTACTGTGATAGCACTTTCAGCATCATTACTCCAGTCTTCAGTGTGACATGATCCTTCAGAAATCATTTCAATATGCTCAAGAAAAATGTCTTATTATCAATGTTGAAAATGTTGTGCTGCTTAATATTTTTGTGGAAACCCTGATAAATTCTTTTTAGGATTCTTTGATTAGTAGAAAGTTCAAAAGAACAACAAACTTTTGTTCATTGTCACTTTTGACCAGTTTAATAGTTTATCAATTTTGTACAAAAATGTCACATCAGTCACTGATCAACACTTATACAGCATTTATTATATTAGTTATTGTAAATGTTCTGATGGCTAGCAGACGGAAGTTCATGGACCGGATACGTGACAGTTGGTCAATTTATGGTCAATTTTTTTATTGATACATTTCAACATATAAAATTCCATATGTTAACATTAGTTAATATGTTTGGAACCAACAATAGTATTTTTAAATTAACATTAAACAACAAAATCATTAAGATAAACAAATGTTTGTTCATGGTTAGTTCATGATACCCAACCATAAATAAATGCGTACCATAAATTGCTGTTGATTTAGAAGGCCAATAATGGAAAACCTTAAGGTATGGATTACTTTTTTATAAACATGTATCACTTTCTGAAAAGAAGTAAACATCAGCAGAAAAGAATAAAGAATATTGTTCTTTTCAATATTTGCAGTGGGCCATCATTTCCTAAATATGATATATATATATATTTAAGAAATATAAATATCGATCATATTAATCAAAATAAATATCTTTGCTTGTGCTTTTTGACTTCACTATTTAACATTACTATATTACTTATTGAAGTAAATACGTCAGATCTGTTGTGCCCTGACAGCTGCCAATCATTTTATTTTGCATTTTATTTTCAGTAAACACTGTGGGTGTGCCCTAGTGAACTATTTGTTTGTTGCTCTTTGCATTTCAATTAGAGCACAAATTAGCATGTAAAAGGCCTTTATTGTCATTTTCTAAGATGGATGCAGATATATTCAATACCGCTAAGATTTCAGTCAATCTGCACCTCAGACAAATGCTGTTTCTAGACAGGTGAATATCACACACACCAGTGTTTATTGTTGCTTTATTTTCCATGGGAATGAATGATTATTTATTTAAGAGATTAAAGAGAGTGACATCTCCAGTGTTTCCTTAAGTGACAATGTATGCTTTTTGAAAAGCACTGAAGTTGAGAATTAATTCCACTGCTTTATTTTGAATTGTTAATTTGTCTCGGCTGATAACAATGCTGCTGGAGTGTGAAGAGGATGTTTTACATTTGAAAGGATTTCAAAATAAGCCATGACAACCTGCCCTTCACATCAAATGAAGAGATTAATTCATCTGAACCATACAAATGTTGCTCATTAATTTATTGCTTTGGAGTCCCAACAAATTGAGATGAAAATGCCTATTTAATTGTATTTAATTAACACAATAACTAAAATGACAACAATGAATTTGACAATCATACTACCCAAAGTATCATAGGAATAAATTATAATCTGATTTAAGATGTAAGCAATGTTTTCATCAGTATGTTATAATGGCAAGGCAAATTTGTTGTAATTTACAATCTAAATTCCATCCCTAACTTAAAAATTCTACTCAATTTTAGTAATTTTTATTGAGTTTTTATTCATTCATTCATTCATTCATTCTCGGAACCATTTGATCGTATGTAGAGTCATGGCAATTTTTCATCCTTAATTTTAAAAAGTGCAATTTAGTTTAATGAAGCAATTAAGTTTTTATTTATTGGGATGAAATGTTTACAGTGCATTACAATATGTACTGAAATTATTAACAAAAACTGCCCTGCCTTCCACAGGGTTTGCACAAATGTTTTGACAAACGTATGTAATGTAATGTAGTGTAATCCTATACAGTAGGCCTACTAAAGTGATGTTAGCCTATACGATTGCAGTGTCTTAATTATACTACATTTTACATTATATTAGAACATAAAGATAGTCCTCTCTTTATTATTGTTTGAACATTGGACACTGCAATGCAGTTCTGAAATTGCATGTTCATTTTTTGAGCACCAGAGGGAGGTGTAGGACTAGCTACACCTTTGACACGCGCTTGCACAATAAATTCCCTTTAAATCTATAGCCCAAAATGCTTTACAAACCAGAATTTGGGCGTTATCACACATTAAAACTGTTCAGTGAGAGACCACACTGTTGAATCGCGCGATGAGTTATTCACAAATGCTTAGTTTTACTTTTATTGCTCCGCCTGGAACTGTGATCCATTAATCGTATTGCCCTTAATCACCGGGCGAATCAGACGAGAGCTGCAAGTTGGGCGCAACTTTGAATCCTGTGCTGGTTAGCGTAATTGATTTGACGTTTCTTAAACATCCTACAGTTTAACAGGGACCAGGGTTTATGTTAGGTAAAGTAAATACGACGAGTTTCCTCGGAACAGTTGATGCTTTTAGAGACTTTTGTCAGAAGCGCATGGATGAGGATAACCTCTTCAGGACGACAAGGACAACAACTGAGCGAAGAAAACCCGTTCACTCTTTAGTCTAGGCTGCAACTGGACAGAGACCTGAAGTTTACGTTGATACGGTCTTCCATTCTTCTTTAATCTCAGTGCTTTAAACTGATTTATGTTCGATCCGCTGCCCACGCGCGCAGTTCAAAGTGCACCTCGATGCGCGTAATTGTTTTACTCAATCGGAGTATTGAAGGGTTCGGTCCAGCGTCTGGTGCTCATACGGACTGGCTGACAAGTTCAAATTAAGAATTGGACTTCTAAATACCTTCAGTTTTCCTGTCGCATCTCAATAAATGGGGAACCTGGATAATTGTTCTCTAAGGGATTGTGCTTTCTGTTAAACACATACCGCACGACTTGTTTTGAAATCGGTACATCTTAAATAAGACCATGATGTTTATGAAATTGCTTCTTCCACTGATGTCCATCGTTTTGATACGAGGTAAGACAGACTCTTTCTTCTTAGTGTTCTTTAACGCCTCTCTGTCTCAATTTACGTCGTCAGTCACTTCTATGTTGTTTTTCAAGACATTACGTACTGTTTAAAACAATTATTGAAACAATAACAGCTAAATAATTCATTAAAACAGCATTTAAATTATTAAAAGCAGTAGTAATAATTATAATATTCAATTAATTATCAATAATAATAATAATAATAAAAACAGCAACAATAATGATTTAGAAAATGCGGTTTCTTTATCATTTGACTTAGACATTAATAACTGTCTGCTATTTTTTAGAGGTTCACCATGCAATTTATCATAGAACCGATATTAAAGAATCAATTATGTAGAAAAGTGTTACTTGGTTAAAAACAAAATATTGGTCAAACTTGTAGTTGGTCACTCTTCAATATTGAACAGTGTTGTTTTTCTGACCAATAGCCTACCAATTATTTTCATCTGTCTTATTACTGATATGCAGACTTTTTCATTGTTTTATTTCTGCTTATTGACACAGTACTATTTAAATTCTCCATGCTTCCTGTAGAACATACATGAATTGACGAAAAGTGTTCATACAGTGCCGTGAAAAGGTTTTTGCCCTTTTGCTGTTTTTTTTTTTTTTTTGCATATTTGTCACACTTAAAAGATTCAGATCATCAAACAAATTTTAATATTACACAAAGATAATGCAAGTAAATACAAAAGGCAGTTTTTAAATTATGATTTCATTTATTAAGGGAAAAAAGCTGTCCAACCCTAATTTAATAAAAATGTATTGCCCCTTCCTGCTAAATCATGAAACATCTGTGATTAACCACATTATTTTAGAAAGCTGAGTTAAATTTCACTTGCCCTGGCCTGATTACTGCC